ATATACTTATATATGTATATATTTTATATATATATATATATATATACACATATAACATGCATATTGTGAAATGTAATTTAAAAGTGGAACAAGAAGAGTGAAGCAAGGAAGAATATCAAGGACCATCATGGAGAGAAGCAAGCCAGCTGATTGACACGTCTGCATGGTTTCTGAATCAGGTGAATTCAGGGCCAAATCAACATTTGTAATGAAAAAAAAAGCTTATTTCCATTTATTTTCGATGTCAGATTCGGGACTGTTCATTGAAAATGTATCATGTCGTAATATAAACAAATCAAACATAAAGAATGATCGAAAAAAGGTAATATTTTCGTCTGTTTTTTGGGCGTTTAATTTTTGGACTGAACTGTATGCTAAATGATATTCTACAATTAGATATTAATTACAAGAAAGTTTCAGGTTGAGGTGATAATTGTTATAGCTTGAGGAGGAGGGGAGGGGAGAGGGGGAGTCACGAGGGGGATCTGTGCAAAAATTTGTTTTTTTTTACATTAAAAACAATTGTACAAGATTAGAATAAGTGTGATTTAATTGATCTTGTCTTCATCGGCTGAATCAACTGCGATCTTGCCTTCATCGATTGAATCGAAAGAAGTGCACTTACATAATTCAATTGTACACACCACTCATATCGGCCAGTTTCTAGTAATTTTTAACTCCAATGAGATTATATTATTTTAAATTAGCCAATTAGCGATGTGAGCAATTGATATACACCTAGCTGGATCAACCTTCTTAAAATATCGGATCTTGCAGACCTATGACAATTCGAAAATTAATTTTTTCCACCCTTTCTTTTGATAATAATTGTCACTTCAATTTCAAACTTCTCTTGATTAATGTCTCAATATAAGGTAAAATTTAGCACACAGTTTAGTTCCAAAATCGAGAGTTCAAAAAACGATCGATTTTTTCAGTCACTCTTTCAAAAGGTTACAATCTGACAATTTCTTAATTTTTATATCTAATTTATATATAATTATTTGAATATTCACTTAATTGTAGTCATGAAAAAATATATTTTTCATCAGCTATTTTAAAGCAGCTCAAAATTACAAATGTTGCTTTCTGTATTTTATAATTTTTTTAGTTAATAATTTTAACAAAGTATCGGCAAGAGGTGATTGTGATTACGTTCTTTCAGCTTGTATATGGAGATCAAAAAAGTACAATAATTTTGTTAAAAAATTAACATATTTTTGTCTTAATTATTTGAATTTTTATTAAATAGGGGTCTTCCATACACCACAGATGTGGCAAAAAAAACCTTGGAATTGACGGAAGAATGGAAGAAAATTTAAGGGACAAACTATTCTCTGAGTTTCTTTTTTCTCTAAGAGTATCTTAACACGATTAATTTTCTCGATATACTTTGATATTAAATAAATTTGTTACTAACAACTATTCTACGCAACGGCGTTCTTCGCGCGCTGTATTCTATAAAAAGGCAATATATATTATTAAAAAAAAAGGAAAAAAAGAAGGCTTAAGGATATCTAATGTTTAGCAGGATGATACTAATGTATCGAGTACTGTACTGACCTTCTGTCAACAGATATTCCGGACCTCATCCGCCGCAGCGTTTTAACAGTCCTCTGAGAGATTCTTCATCACATAAACGATTCGATGACGTAGCACCGCCTGGTACCGAGGGTTATTACGATCTTTCGCCACCGGGTGTCGAACATTCCGAGAGACCATCGAGAGACGATCGCGAGAGACAGCGTTCCCTGAGGGATCAAGAAGATCGGGAGCATTCGTCCAAGGATCGTGATAACGATGAACGTGATAGATTGAGGGACGAGAGGTAATACTGTTGGACATTGTATCGAGTCTGAGATGATTACTCTTTAGTTAAAGAACACTAAGCTTTCTCTTGAATTAATAAAAAAAATTCAAGGTTCGCTCGAAATAAATAAAATGAAATTAATTGCCTTTACAAGTCGACACAGGATATACGGTGTATAAATAAATGTTGACAAGAAGCATTGAAGAGAAGGGAGACATCAAGTCATAATAAATAAAAATATATAGGATCTCTTCATGTCCGTTTTTAAATTCAATACGTGTGCCTGTTTTTGTATGTGTCATTTTCGATATACATAGTCTTTTCTATAAAATTTTTCCTCATCAAAGATTTTAATGTTATCTCAATTAAAACGCGACATCCAATTTGTGTTCTATAATGAACTGAACGCTGTGTCGTTTTTCGATAGATGTGGTTCCTATGCTCGTTAATCCTTGTCTGTTCTGCAAGTTTGCCCCATATAAGTCGCATTACATTCCAATCCAATCAATTTTATAAACTATGTTAGTGCGTGACAATGTAAAAAGCTTATTCTTCGAAATTTTAATAAACTTACTTAGCTTGTTAATGTCAATATATGCCAAATTAATAATAGGATCTGTAAAAATTATTTTTATTTTCTCCGAAATCTTGGGTAAGAATGATATGGTAAAATACCTACATTTAACTCTTTAACGCTTTTATTATCGTTGAAATTATTCAAATTATTGGAACCTCTATTAATCTCATCAAATTTTTTATGCAATCTTTTTCTGATAGTGTCAAAGATAATTTTAATGGATATCCATTATTTAATAGAATTTTTGTAATTTTATTGAAGTTTTTGTTATGGAAATATCTTAGGATAAAAGATAAAAAAAAATCTTATCAATTAGACTCACTACTATCTCCATCTTCTCTAATATCGGAAATAATATACATACAAAAATAGACACACGAATTGAATTTACAAACGGATATGGAACGTTTAGATACCGCATATTTTTATTTATTATGACTTGATGTCTCCCTTCTCTTCAATGTTTCTTGTTAGGTCAACATTTATTTATTGTATTATTCGATTCTTTCGAATAGACAAAACCTCAAATATATTCCATACAATTTTTACATGTAATTTTTACGTGTTTCTTTCATTATTTTTTATTTAAATTTTATATAATTGACATACATATTGTTTCTTGTATAATAAATCTGCCAATTTGATATCGATCTATTTATGAATAAATATATTTGAGGATTCGTATTACAAATCGAACTAATCAAGACTACTTATAAATCAAAGAACTGGAAAGAATACGGGCAGTAGGAGTCAAGCGCAGAAGACGTCGCGCAAATAATACAATATATCTATGAAGTGTGAAACTTCTTTCATTTTTAGAATTATTCATTTATTTTTCCGTCTATTTTTCTTTTTTCTGTTTCTTTTACTTTTTTTTGGTTTAATTCTGGCATTTAAATTCTCGAGGTAGGAGAGCTCACCATGACAGGATAATTTTTATTCAGAGTTTATGTATATTTGTGTTGTCTCTGAGGAGGGCTCAAAAGTGAGCCGAAACATGTAAGCGCGTTTTAGTGAATAAAGAAGTTTCACACTTCGTAGATATTATTTGCGCGACGTCTTCTGCGCTTGACTCCTATTGCCCGCCTCCTTTCCAGTTCTTATATAATATTTGAGGATGTTAACACAATAATAACTTATTAATAACAATTCATCGATATGTGTGTTTATATTTTTGACTTTAGATTAAAAATATTGTAAGACTAATTAGCAATTGATTCGATATAGCGCACTTATATCACGTCTTTATTATTGAGTTATATTAGAGTTAATTTTTTTTATTATTAACGTACTGAAGAAGATCCAAACAAAGAGTCGAAACGTATATTATATTGTCATTGTATTAATGAATGAATTTATTTACACACCGTTATCCGCTTTATTGAATTATTTTACATTTCGTAAAAGAAATTATCGTGGTCGTATTACAAAGGATATATTTATGAGATATTGTATTTTGTGTTTCAAAGGGGTCGCGAACGTGAGGATCGTATACGCGAGAGGGATGATAGAGATCGCAGAATCATAAATAGAGATCGCGAGGATCGCGATAGGCAGGTCCCATCTAGAGAACACGAGGACAGGATACGAGAGAAAGACGAACGCGACAGAAGAGAAAAGGAGAAGGAACGAGAAGATAGACACATTCGCGATCGTCGAGATGATGACAGGCATATCGAGAAGAAAGATTATGACAAAGATCGGTATGTTCTGCATCAATCAAGTTAAAGAAGTATGAAATCAAATTAAAATTATTCAGCACGTTAGCAAGAATCAATATTTTATAATAGAAATTTTAACACATATTTGTTATTTAAAATTCCATGCTAAAAAAAGACTAATTAATTTACTAAAAAAAGCTTTCAGTTAATTTACTAACCATTTATGTGTTGGAAACTATTTATCTGATATTTATATCTTTATCTATTATTTCTTTTATTTATCTATTATAGTTATAGAGATGATCGAGATCGCCATCGGCAAGATGACAAGAATCGGCTGCGAGAGAAGGAGAGACGCGAACGCGAATACGAAACCGAGAAAGACAGAGATCGTCACGAACGATACGAGAGACGTTCGATGGAACGGAAAAAGAGTAGGAAAAGTTTAAGTCCATACTCACAGAAATCTAGGGGCGATCCTAAAGATTTGTCTCCAGAACGAATTGTGAAGAAGAAAGAAAAGGATCATGAGGAAAAAGTAGAAGAGAAGAAAAAAGAGAAAAAGATAAAGGAAAAGAAGAAAAAGAAAGATAGTGATGAGAAAGAGAAAAAGAAGAAGAAGAAAAAGGACAAGAAATCTAATCAGAAAGAAGTAGCGAAGGACGATCTGACGATTAAAACGACAGAGGCGGACGATTTGCTAGTTGAGAGTAAAATAAGTAACGACACTTCGTCTTCGCCGCCCGACAAAACTGACTCTATAAAGGCATGCAATGAGGAAGACAATATACAAAACAGGATCGAATGTATTTCCAACCAAGTGTCTATCGCGCCGATCAAAGAGGAATTCGAGGATAAATCTCTGGCGATGAATCCGGAACCGCCGGAATTCAATGAATCCAGTCCTGGCAGTGGTCGGTTAGATCGCACAGAATTTGGCACGAATCCACCGAATCCAAACTTCAAACCGATTCCGGAACTTAAGTCGGACATGAAACCGATCGATAGCCTCTACGGAGGATTGGATGACACAGAAATTAACACTGTGATCACGGAGAAGTATTCTTTACTTTCGGAACATTCGCAGACCGAGACGAAGGAAGCTACCATCATGCTGCCAACGGAAAAATCGCCGAAAAAGGACGAGTTTCTAGCACCGATACCCGAGTTGTCCAAGTGGGAAAGGGATGATACGATCGAAAAACCCGATGATGATGACGATGACGATGACAACGTGAGTGGATCGCCAACGGAGAAAATACCGAGAGAGGATGAGCCGAAATCGCTCAAGATGGTTACGTCGGAGGTACTGAAGCGTGCGGAGAACGCCATATTTCAAAAAGCAATTAATGCGATCCGACCGATCGAGATCAAGAAGATCAGCGAAAGCAGAAAGATACTGTATCAGAATCCCGAGCCTAAGGTGCTGGAGACGGTGGAGTCCGCATCTAATCGAGAGCCGCGAAAGAGCGTCAACGTGACGATCAACGTTGGTAGAAACGAGAGGAATGTTGAGATCACCGAGCCAGCAAAGAAAGCCAAGCTCGATCGTACCAAGTTCAAACCTGTGCCAGAGACAGCCTACTCGCCGACTAGGCTGTCTGCGAAGGAAAGACTAGGCGAGAAGATTGAAGATGGCAAGGAGAGAAAGGTTAGTCCTATAAAGGGATTTCTAGAGAGACGTGACGCCAAGAACGAGAATCAGTCGAGAAGTCGATCGCCCAGGAGGGAAAAGAGGCTCTCTCCTCCGCTTTTAGAACGGCGCCTAGAGTCCTCTTCGTTGGGCTTAATTGCTACAAGCGGCGAACGAAAAGTGTTCTTAGAAGACAGAAAACGTGACAACAAGGATAGAGGCGATCGATCAAAGGAGAGGTCGGATTTCCGAAGTGACAGGCATGGAAGCGAGTTGAAATCCGACAGGGAGAATAGAATTGATTGCAGAATGGATTTTCGTTCCAATAGAAGCGATATCAAAGGAGAACGCGTGGATAAAGATCGCGATAAGGAACGAGATCGCGAACACAGAGGTAGGACACCCTCCTCGACTTGCATATTTAAGAGAACAGAAATAGCCAAGATCGGCTTGTTAAAGTCGAAAGATGATGAAGAAGAGAAAAAACGTGACAAGAAATCTCGGGAGGAAAAGAAGAGAAAGAAGGAGCATCGCAGTAGGAGTAAATCCAAGGAGCATAAAAAGCGCAAAGAGAAGAAGCACAAGAAGGATAAGGACAAAAATCAGGAGAAGAAGCAAAAGCACAAGGAGAGTGCGCTCTCTAAGGACAAATCGGATGGTAACCACGAGACCAAAATCAGTTACGAGAATATTGAGCCGCCTTTAACAGAGTCGTTGAAGAAACAAAGGAAGAATCCGAGATTGGTATCTGATCGCAAGCGCAGCATACTCGACGAGGCGAGCTTCGAACCCGATTACTCGGCTTCGGACTCGGAATCAGATGGTGAGGAAGGAAAACCGTCACCTGCGAAGAAATTGAAGCTTGATGAAATGGAAGTGGATAAAGAGATGGAGATCAAATCTTTGAAGAAACGATCCAAGTCAAGTAGTAGCGAGGACACTTCCAGCAGTTCCGACACTACGAGCTCTGATTCGGATAGCAGCGACGAGTCGCACAAGAAGAAAAGAAAGAAGCATAAAAAACATAAAAAGAAGAAATCTGCCAAGAAGGACAGCAGTTCGGACTCGGACACTTACTCTGATTCGTCCGACAGCAGCAGTGACGAAGAGAAACATAAGAAGAAATCGAAAAAATCAAAGAGTAGAAGCAAGCAGTCAAGGAAGAAGAAGAAATCCAAGCATAAATGACATCACTAGATATCTCTTTGATGTTCACTCAAAGACTCTTTACCTTACCTTACCTTACCTTACCTTAGAAAGAAACAACAAAAGAAAAAAGGCCAGAACTTTGTTTTCCATATAGTACTTTCAAATATCATGGCAATCGTAATAATAATTATTATTATTACGATCGTAATAATAATTGTTATACTCGTTGTTATAGCTCAAGGCATAACCAAGTTTTTTTTCAAATACACGTCATTTAGTAATAGAATACTATCGAATTATTGGTACAAGTGGTAAAAGGTAAATATTGAGCAGGCAAAACAAATTAACGCGATTTAACGAGTAGAAAAAAGCAAAAGCTGGAAATTGAGAATACCTACAATAGTTAAAACTATTCTAACGTAAAAAAAAAAGAAAAAGAATAACATGATATAGCCTTTACATAATTGTCATGTTCCGACTTGATATATTAAAAAGTACTGCTATGTAAGTTTATTATAATAAGCTATGTATACATTGTAGCCGATATAATTTTGTGGCAATTTTGTCAAGAAGCGGTAAGTCTTTAAACAACTTACAATTATATAATGAATATAAAAGAGCAATTTTAAGATCTCTATTATCTATATACATATATATTTCTTTCCCTCCCTCTTTCACCATTATATTGTACTTTCATAATTTAATGTCAATATGTAAGAAAAAATCACGAAAAATAAAATGATAAAATTCTTTTAACATATTCTTGTGCCTCGCATGAACATATAGAAATAAAAAAAAAAGATGTCGACTTCGCGTTCATCGTGCTAATGTTACATTATGTAATACAGCTTTGTTATTACTAACAAAGAATTGCCATGTGTTACAGATTGGATTTAAGTACTGTTTGGTTTTTATTATTTATTATAATAAATATAATCTGTATATATCTAAGCTTGTGCATGTTTTTGTTTGTACATATATAAGTGTGAGATTTGTAACATATATAAATATATAGAAAATGAATAAATAGTAATTAAAAATCGCAGTTGAATACATGCTCGTGTAGATCTTATAATTAGGTATTTTTTAAATTGATGAATGTTTGTACAAGACCACACAACAGCGGTAAATTTTTGCTCTTTCCGCTATCTTTTATTCCTAAACCTTGTGCCAGAAGTTTACGATCCAAGCAATGTTTGGGAAGATCACATTCTGAAATAACATCTTTTGTTCAATTATATTACTTTATCCACACATGAGATTTCGTTCAAGAAAAAAAAATGTATTGCCCATTATATAGTCCATTACATTCAAGCTAATTAATATAATGATACATAATGATTATATCAATGTGTGTTGTGTGTGTGCACGTGGTGTGAGTGTATGTATTCCATAAAATAATGTACCTGCGATAAATACAGTGGAGCTATATTTATAACCCATCCAATCCAGATATTCTCGGACAAGTTCATTGAGGAAAACAATATCATGTGAAGGTTTAATAGTATTTGATTTGTTCTCCTTGCTAGAATAATCGAGCAATTTTATTACTTCTGTACGCATTTCTGCTTTTATTCGATCAAGATTTCCATCGGCCTTTAGAGATTCTTGTACAGCTACAAATTCAAAATATAAAGTATTGTCTTCTACATTTCATAGATACACAATAAATGTTAATAAGAAAATCTTTAATCAGATATTATATTATGATATAATAAATGGATAGAAAGTGTAAGCGATAAAAGAATGAAAAAATAAAAATATTTTCTATATACAAAATAGTACAAAATTTACTGTTATGATATGAAATATAGAGATGATAGATTTATACATGTCAATAATTCTGTAATTTTTTTGACTGTAAAATATTTATGAACATACAATATTTACATGACTAAATACCATTTATCAAATCTTTTTCTGTTGCCATTTCACGTTTGTCTCATTCAATATTTTTCGGAAATCCAAAATCTAAACAAACTACAAGAACACATTTATGGTTTAAAACTTTGATTGTTTTTGACAATTCTTTTCTTGCCGGACCGACCATGCATCAATCAATAAAGACTCGAGTGTCCAATAACTTGACCAATTATACTCGAAAATTCCAATCATGAATGGCTGTGTTCTGAAAGCTGTGTCGAAAATTGTCTTTTTAATTACAAGGTTGATAGCGCTGTAACTAATGTCGGGTGTACAATGGCCTCTCCTACACGGCACGTTTAAGGGTAAAATCATACGGTTCGGAATAGGACTGCGGAATACAGAATGCGTCATTAGGTGCATCCAGAAGCACGACCATTCACTGAGAGCTCTTTTACCTGTTTAGTCTATATTTGTAGATCTAATGGAATGTGCCAATCAAATGCAAGAGCTCACTGAGCGCTCAGCGAGCAATCGTGCTTCTGGGTGCACCTATTAAAGCAACCAATCAGCGCTATTCCGCACTTTTCCATCGCGCAAGTTTTGTGTGCTATATTCACATGATGCGTTAAAAAAGTATCCAGCATGAATATAATTTAAAAACTACTAACTTCATGTTAATAATTTGCTTATTAAAATGTAATATAATTTTTCAAATTGTAAAAACAATTATTACTGTTGTAGTATTTAATGTTTTACAATTAATATTTACAATTTCATAACAATTTTTTGAACTACTTTAATGCATTTACTATCATTTTTCCGCATCGTGAACATAGCACACAAAACTGGTATGATGGAAAAGTGTGGAAAAGGGCACACTGAAATCGCACGTAATGCATCATTGTTTTTCTTATCTATATTTATCTATATTTATACACTCAGATTTTGTCATTTTGCTTCATTCTCGACATTACGCAATTCCATATCAATAAGCATCAAATTATTTTAACCTCTCAAAATACGACGGTATATTACAAGAACAATGACGCACTCGCTTTTCCGCAGCATCAAATGCAGAATAGCGCTGAGTGGTTGTTTCAATGACACATTCTCTATTCCGCAGTCCAATTCTGCACTGTGTAATTTCACTCTAAATCCGATGTACACGATGCTAGAAATCGGTACGAGATCTCGGACAGAAAAAATTAACAAATCACATTTGAACAATTTAATCACATGATCATTGCGATTGGTCACTTCTTTCTTCATCAGAGGTCCGGACCAATTTCTAACGTCGTGGACACAAGGAGTGCATTCGTTTGTGCAGTGGATAACGCATCCACTTTCTTATTTGCTGATCACATGATCTAAATTTACCGAATGGATCTCTGCATAAATAGCTGCTTGTACCATATTGGATCGAATCTTCCAATAGAAATTCTGAAAAAACTGAACTGATTGAAAATTAAGGCTCAAGAACTCTATTCTTGAACAAATATCGCAGAAATAGCAATTCCGTATACAATCGATCAATCACAATCGAGAAACTGTCATTTTCATATGCAAAAATTATATATACAGGGTTCGTCAGATATTTAAGGACACTCATATATGTGCATGCCAAGTTTTAGCAGCAAGTTTTTTATTTTTTTTTTTTCAGATCATAAATGGAGGACAATAAGTTGACTCAGGAAATGAAAAGACACGCTGTTATCATCGTTATACACGCGAATCACAGCGATCTTGAAATCTCCCAATTTTTGAAAGTCACCCGATCGTTTGTTCACAAAGTTCGTCGAGAGTTAGAAGCATCTGAAGGCAATGTGGAAAGTGTTGCCAAGCGCAAAAAACATGAGGCACGTTTAGATTAGAGTAAAAACATCACACTTTGTCCAGGGCATTATTGATGGCCTTTCAAAGTTCATAAGGGCCATATCGAGAGACCTTCAAGTTTCTGAGTGCACAATCCGTCGCATTGTCCACGAAGACATCCGATACAAGTCCTACGTGATACGCAAAGGTCAGTTTATGTCGGCACAAACTTGAGAACAGCGATTCATCCGGGCACAACGACTTTTAAACAAGTTAAAACATCCTGAAATCTCTCTGATATGCTTTGGTTTTATTCTGACGAAAAAAATTTTGACCAAGATCAAAAAATAAATCGACGAAATGATAGGTGACTATGTGCGGATCCTTCAAATGTTCCTCATGCACACAAAGTTTCCGGCAACTGTCATGATTTGGGAGTGGTGAGCAATGAAGGACACGTCATGCCATCCCACTTTTTTCCTCAAAAACTTCGGGTGAATGCTGCTGCCTATATTGAGGTTTTGGAAGAAGTTGTGAAACCCTGGATAGATAGCGTGCGTGATAAGAGGCCATATGTATTCTAACAGGACTTTGCTTCTTCACACAAAGCCATGACGACGCAAGATTGGATGTCCGCATTGGAATCTGCATGATCACATAACCCCAAACATGTGGCCACCTAGCTCCCCGAATCTTAATCCTCCTTCGGATTATTACGTACGGGAGGGGAGGGGGGCGTTGTTGAACAGGAGACCAATAAACATTCCCATAACACGTTTGATTCCCTAAGAGCAGCTATTAGACAGAGTAATGACGCATATAGACGAGGATCATTTGATTCGAGCAAACGTTTCCGGCAAAAAATTGAAGCTGTTATTACCGCTGAAGGCAATTTTATCGATTAACTGTATAGCCTACGAGTCACTTAGTGCTTTTTTGCTATAAAAATTTCATTAAAATACAATAAGTTTCTAAGAAATATACAAATTTTAGTTTTAAAATCAATATATTCTCAAATACCTGACTATATGTGCTAAAAAATAGGCAGTTTCACAACTCATGGTCAACTCTTAACTAAGGTTTAACTTATTTTTCATCTCTTTCTAATGCTAGAATTGGAAAGAGATGAAAAATAAGTTGAACCTCGGTTAGAAATTAATCATAAGTTGTAAAATTAAGCCTAAATAAAAAATCTGGAAATATTAAATAAAATATTATAAAATTTATTTATAAAAAGTTCATAATTCTTATGATATTTTCAATCTACATCCAAAAGGTGTGATTTTTAGATTAATCTAATCGCAAATATAAATTAGCAAACTTCATATCTTTTCCATTATACATCTTACGTTGCATTATTTTCACTTTAGTAGAATCGATTTTGACAAGTTGTTCTTATCTTTTTTCATTTTTTTAAATATTTTAATAAAATTTATTTTTAATAATACAATCGGCTATTACAGCTGACGGTATTATGGACAGCAAGATATCCAACCTGCAAAGAGAACTGCAGCGCAGTTTGTCGTTCATCTTCACAGTACTGCGAGCAGAGCATCCTGAGCAGATATAAGAATATAAGGTATTTTGTTCCCGAGGATGCGCACTAGTCCAAAATGGACAAACAAACACCCAAGGACTTCGATTCTTTCCTTCGAAAATTTTTACAAATTTAGAAGTGACCACCTTTCTATTATACATTAATGCTCACAGTCCGTGCGCGATTAACGATACGACTAATGGTGCGGACACAATAGAAGGAATAAGAAATTAGGAATGGCTGCACCTTAAACCTTACGTCCGTGTATAACTAAATTTGACGGAAAGATGAAATGAAAATAAAATTTCGGAAGTTTTAAATAACTTTAGTATTTTATTCCATATCTCTGTGGAAAAAAACGGTGACAACAGGATATACGGATCTTGGCGTGAAGGGCGAGAAAGCATAAATATATATTATTCAGCAAGCCTCCAAGAAGCTACGTGGCATTTCAGATAAGTTTTCGTTTCCCTATAAATTTCACAAATTGCACTATATAAAAAACAATCGCTTTATGAATGTTTACTACATTTTTCAGATATTAAAGTGTATAATAAACACATTATCGTGAAAATGCACGAAAGGTTTTCGTAGTGATACGCTACGAACTAAACCCACTTTCCGATAGACTCATCTATTGGCTGGGTTTAGACTGGTTTTTTTCTATTGGCTCTAGTTTTGACTTAATATACGTTATAAGTTTGTTTTGTATATGTTGTATACATGTTAAAATATAAAAAAATATTGGATAGAAAATTTTTTTATTTTTTTTTATTTTTTTTTATTTTAACTCCAGTTTTATTTACAATCTATTCAAATGAATAATAAGTAAATCAGGTAATAAATTAGCAAGAGTTGCATAACCGCCCAATGGAGGTTTGCTAATCAGTAACTTATATGTTAAACAATACAATTGTAGTAGAACAGTGAAACTGTATGAAACTGAATTGTTCCCTAAAATCTATTTGAGAGATCCAAAGGTTGGAATCTCTTTAATCTCCTATTTTGTTTTCGAGTTTCTAATAATTTTGTAACAAGAATATTTGAGTGTTTTTTTAATCTTTCTTGATATTTGTCACTAAAACATTTTACTTCACTTTGCACTGTTTTTATATTTAAGTCACGATGAATCACTTCATTAGGAACATACCACGGTGCTTGCACAATGGTTCTTAATGTTTTAGATTGGAATCGTTGTATAATCTCGATGTTAGAGTTACTAGCTGTTCCCCAAAGTTGAATTCCATAAGTCCAAATTGGTTTCATTATGCATTTATACAAAAGTAGTTTACTTTCCAGTGAGAGTTGAGATTTTGGTCCCAGCATCCAGTATAATTTTCGAAATTTTAAACCAAGTTGCTTCCGTTTATTCCAAATGTGTACTTTCCAGGTTAATCGCCTATCAAGATGCATTCCAAGATATTTAACTTCATTTGCCATTGGCAATATTTTATTGTTTAATGTTATTGGGAGACATGTGTCCTTTCGCATTGTAAATGTGACATGTGAAGATTTGGATTCATTAACTTTAATTCTC